CCCCCCCCCCCCCCCCCCCCCCCCCCCCCCCCCCCCCCCCCCCCCCCCCCCCCCCCCCCCCCCCCCCCCCCCCCCCCCCCCCCCCCCCCCCCCCCCCCCCCCCACGTTTCTGTTGAAACGTCTTTCTTTACCTACCTTAATGCAATTTTTAAAAGATCGAAAGATGCATGTTTTGGAATCTACAAACAATGGACTATCTGTGTTTAAATTTCCTAGATCAGCTTTCACAGTGAAGGAATCATAACATTTGGAAAGCGAGCAGAATTTAAAGTTTGGACAAGTAAAACTATTGTTTTGTTAATGTCAACTTTGCTTTTGCTACAAAAATTATTTTTTGTACCAGATTTCACAGAAACCTTTTAACTACGAAGCTAATTGTCTAAGAACGCTACAATTTAGACAGATACACTCGGTTTTCAAAATTAAAACTTTAACTGCTTTAACTTGTGAAACTTTAATGCTGGTCGCTGTTAACTTCGGACCATACTATGGATTTGTCGAGCTATACTTCATACTCTTGAGAATCGTCTCTTAATTCCTCGTTATAGGAGTATTATCAAAGACGAGAATTTTTTCTTTGTTACAACAAAATCATTGTTCGAGTGGTACTTATAGTCACATGGACTTGTTTCACCTTAGAGATGGGCAACTCCAACTTCGGAGTTGAGCTTCTTTTTAATGGCGTTAGAGTTGCGTTTTTATTAGATTAGAGTTGAGTTCAATTCTGATTTTTTTACCTCCAACTTTTCTACTTCAGTTAAAAACTTTTATAACTCTGAATTTTCCTTCTTTTTGTTATATAAATAATAACGATTGTACCAGATTTCAAGAAAAAAAACATTGTCTATCACGGATGAGAATAGGTATTTTCAAATCCCGCAATATATAGATCTATGTTATACTGAAGTTATAAGAATATTATGAGTAATTTTAAGAATCTTTTATTGTTTATACTGATAAGAGAATAAAAGATGAAATGAAAAAGAAAAAAACGAACGAACAACTGTCAAGACAAATAGAAAGATAAAGCAAAATTATGCAAGAGTACAACAAATTTTGTTGTTTTTAACAAAAAAAAGTGAGGTCATTGGAGCACCTTTATTGCCACCAGGACCACCGTAAGTTAACTGAAGTCTGTTATAATGACTGTTGATCGTTTGTTTCTAGAAAAAAAGTAGATAATCGTTAACTTTATGAGAATGCGTACAAGTATGTCAACATTTCGTACCATCGATGAGTAGGTTGTAATTCTTGTGATATCAAAGACTGTGTAAGCCATCCAGTTACTTGTTCATCTGCATTTTTCGTAACCAGTGTAAACGTATAATGGCACTTATCTAATTGAAATCCTTCTTGAAATTGTTGAGAATTTTTGTAAATTGGTGTTGAAACATCTACAGAGGAAGGATAAATATACCGTTTTATCGTAGATACAAAAAACGTTTTAATCCCTGATATTACTTGTTGGAAGATGACCTGTTATAGAAAATATTAACAGTGGTTGATCTTTGGCTGCTGCATGGTTCATTTCAGAAATTTTTGTTCTTATTGGACACATTTTAATTCTTTTTCAATTGAAAAAGAAAAGAGATATTGATGTAAGACAATACAAAAAGGAGATCCAACTTTGGCTTGAGGGATCAAAAGATGCCGAATGGAGTAGTAAAACTATTTCAAAAAATCGTTTTATCAATGTATTTTTCGGATTTTTGGCCATTCTTACTTGCTTTTGCCTTATATTAGGACGACGTTAACGCGAAGATTATTCTATCACTTCAATAGACTATGTATAGTTATCTTTCAACGCTTGATTTTTGCCTAAGTGTTGGGTACTTGATGGCTTTTGTACTTTTCATTTTGTTGAGTAAAACAAGTTGCGTCAATTGTGCGCTTGTTGTTTTATTTTTTCACGACTATGTTTTAGCAGAAATTAGTTTTACACTGTCTTTCTCAGGCATGAGATATTGTATCAAGCCAACGCAGAATGAGCTTGACAGATAATATCACGCACTTTTTAACTGTGAAAAGAATAAAAATGAAAAAAATAGATTAATGATTGATACAATTAAGAACAGTGATTTTGAATCTCAAGTTAAACTTGTAATCAGATAATCGTGGTTCTTCTAGTTAGGATCGCACAGTGGGCATCCAGGCGGATATTTGGTCTTTACTTTTTCTTCATTTGAAGATTCTCCTATAAACTTCAACCAATGACCGTTGTAATGGCAGAAAAATTTCTGGTCGAAGCAGTTTTCTTACGGAAAAAAAGTTAGATAGAAAAATCTCGCTACAATTCTCTAGCTGCCTGGAAAAGCCAATTTTCTCCTTGTAGATTCGAGTTTAGCTACAGTCTAAGAACATATTCGGAATCAGCAAAATTTGCGCTATCTAGTACTATCAAAATATTTTCCCTTATGTATTCAAGTCAAAAAACATTTTAACGTTTTTCCACAAATACTGCTTTTTCAAAATGTGTACTCAGTACAAAGAGTTTCCCCAGCTCGTAAAACCTTCATCTTTTGCCGAAAGGGGGTTTATGACCACATTTATATATGGTATTAGCGCAAAGCAGCGCAACTTTAACTGCAGTCCTGAAGAGATTTTCCAATAGCCCTCGAGTTTTTGAGGTAAGACTGACATTTCTCCTTCTAAAAAAAAAGCACTTTTTTCTGCATAAGCAGTACATATTCGGAATCAGCGTGAAAAACTACATCTAATGATATCTAGTTAGTTAGTTTTACAAGTAAAACATTATTTGACAAAAATTCAAGGCAAGGGTCTCCTAAGGAATATTTTGTCGAAAAAAATTCTTTTTCGAATTCCACCTTTTTTACTTCTACTAATATCTGACACATAGTAAGAGCATATTATGCTAAAATAATCATTTTTTAACTCAAAAAAACCAGATATCCGCTTGCTCTATGGAAGAATGCCCACTGTGGATCGTTCGTAGTAAGAACTGCGATACAAACACTGGATTGACAAATCGAAACAGTAGAAGAGATCTTTATTGTGTTCTGTCGGATATCTTTTTTGTACAGTGTATGTTCAAATGACAATGTATGTCGAACATGATACTCTTACTCAATCGATCCTGGATTAGTTGTTTTAACAGCTTCTACTTCTATCGGAATATATATTGGGTTCATTGTATTTGGCACATCACTGTTACCGCGACGATATTCGGGATCAAGTATTCTTTTTGGATGTATGTAATACTGATGTGTATCTTGATGTAGAACAGTAAGACAACAAATTTCGATAAATAAATCTTTTTTTTCAGCCTTCAAAAATTGTTCACTTATTGATGGTAACTGTGCGAAAGTATTTTACATGAAAAAAATGAAATCTTTTTTTTGAGTGTGAAACTTACAAAAAGACGTAAATAATTTCCACTTGTACTGCGTAACCAAGTTGGATTTAAATGCCTATCACCATTTTTATCTTTCGTTTGCATGTCTGATATATATCTCTCCTCATACGTAGGTTCTATATCAGCAGCAAATGTCAATTGATTAATTGATCCTTTTGAACGAAAACGAAAATTATAGAAGAGAATACGGTTCGAATTATAGAAAGAGTGATTCGTTCGACTTACCATAAGTTAATCGTTCTATATAAGGAATGAAAAGAAAAATCGGTTAGGAGTAATATTGGTAATAAGCTCTATACCTGTATTATATGTCGTTGATGCGGTCTCTAGCATCTGACTACTTATGTGATCATCACTGTAATGACGAAAATATTCGGCACCATCATTCTTCAGTCGTGTTCTTGATCGTTTGGATGGACGATAATGGACATCTTGTTGTTGTTGATTCATTTGTGCTTCACAAATTGTATGCCTAAAACCTTGGCTGATTAATGATAATGGTTCTAATTGTGATACATGAGGCTGATTGACCAGTGTAGGTACCGCGAAGTCAGCAACAACACTATTTAATGTATTTACAAACTCCTGCACATTCTAGAATTTCAACAGTAAATTACTATTTAAATCGATGTTAGATTTAGTTCCTACTAATATCTATACCTCATTCGTTATCAGTCGAAGTGTTTGAGAAAAATTTTGTATAAATATGTTGAATCCGTCAACGTTCATATTTAGTCTTACACCTTCAAGCAGATGAAATAACGAATTGAAAATATTTAATGAATTCGTCGAATTAACCGTTTGTTGTGGTGCGAGATAAGGGTTATAATATCCAATTTCAGTTGTTTGTTGATTGAATGGTAAGGAAATCGGAAATACCGGAGTTAAACTATTTGAAACTTGTTGCTGAGTAAAAGAACACAATGATATTGATGGTGCTCTGTTTGCTGTCTATTTTTTAAGAAAATTAAAAAATCATTCTACATTAGTTTTGTTTAACATGGGGTGAAAAGTATACAGTAAGAGCAAAAGAAAAAACATTCCTTACTGCAGAGGGTGATGCTGTACAGTATGGTACAGTAATGTTTGCTTGATTCTGTCCTTGACACCCATGCTTATGACTGTTCCACTGTTGAAACTGCACCAGTATGCCGCAATGATCACAGATATAGGAAGTCATTTTTTAATCAAAAACAAAATGAAAAACTATCAGCAAGTCAAAAACTTGAGTTTTGAAGGATATAATGGAGGCTCTTGTTTTGAGAACTATTAAGAGGAACAAATCATAAACGAAGAATCGTCTTTTTGCATGAAGATATTGAGACGTAGATGGTGAGAGGAGGAGATTTTGACTGTGATTGAAGGAAAAGTCTTCTTGAGATGTGACGACCGTTTTGTAGAAATCCACATCAGAATACGACAAAATCTTTTGAACAAAATTATTTTTGGGTCTCGCTAAGTTTTAGAGTCCATCTATTTACTTTTGACTAGAAATAATCTTTTCTATCGATCATTGTCTCGTGACATTAAGAACGAATCAATTTGATATTAATATTCCTCTCTCTTGTTCAAATGAATATTCTCTCAGCTTCATCGACTTCCATTTCTTTCAAAAAGCATCAGGATCTCAAACGTGTTAGATCATGTCTAATATGCAGATATAAGTGCAAGATACTGAGTACGCTCTATGTCAGAGAAATACTTTCATTTTATGCTTTCCTGCAATTTTTGTCTGTTTGTTGGGTTTCTGAATCCTGCCATCGAGTAGAGTTTTTTATACATTTGCTAGCCCAACAGATGTGAATCTACATGCATTTATGTGAACTTCGATACTAAACAAACAGATAGGTATAATCTTTATTTCACAGTTCATACGTTATTTCTGCTTCTCGCTGAACCAATTTCATGAACGTAGGAATTTCGTGAGATAGGAACATGCATCTCAGTTCACAAAATGAAGAAACTTATTTTGCAATCGCTTATTTTTTTACAGAAAAGTCCAAGTCTTGGAAACCTGGACAAGCCCTTACTATGCGTGCAGTTCTCGAGACAGCTTTCTCGTAACTTTCCTCTCGACATAGTTGCCCATGTAATGGCCGTTCAGAGCACTTCTGCGTTAAACATTAAAATAACGCAAAAAGGAGCGACTTGCATTAAGAATTTTGTAAAAAGGTCAGCTAATGCATAAATTCTGTATAACACTTTTTGTAGAATATTCAGAATTTTACAATAATTTCATCTTTGTAACGATGTTTTGCGTTACGTCACTTAAGGTTTTCGCATTTATTTTTTTGCGTTATTCACATGAAGAAATTTGTTTCTTTTATAGGTGAGAATATATTTTAACTTTTTCATTTTCAATTTCGTGAATGGCCTTTTGTATTCATGTTATTTGTATTATTTTATTAACACAACGTGCTCTAACATGGATTTAGAACGTTATCTCTAACATCTGGTGACAAACTAAATAAAGCTGCACCATTTACAAGAAATCTCATTTCAATTATTTTTATAAATTATGATTATTTACTCTACTACTGATATGATTCACTAAGATGAGAGTAATTTTTATGAAGAAAAAATAATTCTGTTTTATATCGTTCGTCAGGGTTAAGTCAATAAAAAGTATAGTAATGCTTTCTGTTTCTATTCATTTCTTGTTTTTGCCAAAGCAATAACCTTTGATGTTGGTAGGGTACCTTTTTATTTTAGAAGTAAACTTTTAACTATATATAGACCAGAGGTGATCACCTGCATAATTTTTCACCCCTGCGCGGTCACCGCGCAGTAAAAAAGTCTTTTGTTCTGCACAGGCAGAGGTTGAGGGTGGAAACTTCTGCACTGTCCTGCCCTGCAGGTCGACTG